GTCGCTCTACGTCGAGGCCGCCAGCCAGGCGTACAAGTCGAGCCGGACAGGGAACCCGCGGTACCTCGCGCCCGAATTGCATCTGCGGCAGGACAGTGCGGACGGCGCTGCCGGCAGGATCGTCGCGAGGCTCGTCGGCGGGAATGCGCGCTCCAGCCCTGCTGTGCGTGGACGACGTCTGAACACCTCGAGCGTCGGCCTCTCCCCTGCGATTGCCTCGCTATTCAGCGGACCCGTGTTCCGGATATCGCCTAGTGGTCGTCAAGACGAGGCGCCCGACCTGTTTTCGTTTGCGATGCTCTGCGTCGAGGTAGGCCTTACGTCTCTCAACATCTACTGCTCCTGCTGATCGTCGTTCCGTCCTGTGCAGCTCTACACTGGCCAGGAGCCATTCGTGGCGTCGCATCCTAGTGCGACGGACGGGCAGGTCTCGAACCTCATCCTGCAAGGCACGTGGCCGACGCCGCTGCCGGCGGCGATCGCTGCGCAGCTAGGTTTGGTGCGTGTACTCGAGCGCTGCTGGCAGCAGAACCCGGCACGTCGTGGAGATGCGGCTGCTTTGCTCGCGGACATGCGCGGTCTTGCTTAGCGATCCATCGTGGTACTCCAATTACGGACGCCATCGCACAGTTACACTGAGGCGATTGATACTTTATTCGTTTTAGATCTTTTTTTATTCCGCGAAGACCTGTTTGCACTTTATCGCTCTTATAACGTATAAGTGGGACTACGTTTTTCTGGCACTTTTATCCCTTTCCCGTGTGCTCAGAGGTCCATCCATTCAAGCCTCGCATTCCGGCTATCAGTTCAGTGGTCCATGTCGCTTTGTCCTTAAGCTGATCACTAGCGAATCGTACAGACACGTAGATCAGCTCTATAGTTAAAGGATTGATACCATCTTCTAAGCTTACGCCGCTTCCATCGTCACGTACACGCGGAGATTACTCTTGTACATTTCTCGCGGAGTGCGACCCGACCGGTCTGACCGATACTAGTAGCACAGGTGCCAGAGTTCCAACAAGCAGTCGTCTCAGCACTCATGTTCGGGTACGTCACTTGCTATATTAAGCTCCATATGTTGACATACTCGTTCCTTGTATTCAGCTCTGAATTAGTTGAGCTTAGGTACGTTCGTAGCAGGATTGAGGTGTGTCCATGTCCCTTTGTCCCGGTGCACCTTTTGCCTCAAACAGATCTGAACTTCTCAGGAATATAACTTAGCCCCATCATGCATGAGCTAAGTCTTGGCCGTTGTCTGCCAGTTAGGCGCACCTCTGCGCGTTCTGTGGAGCTTGATGTCCCTTTGCTCATATTGTAGTTTGCTCAGTGTCAGATACAACGTATATCCGTTTCAGTACCCAAACCGGACGTTCACGCCTCCTTAGGGTAAGATTTGGCAGGAATGAATACGCAGCCAAATCTCTGCAACTGCGTTTTGGCCTGCAAAGCACTGGGCCCACGCCGCGCCCCACTACTCTTTCTCCAAGGACAGTATGAGATATGGTACAGCCTGTATGAACTCGACAGCTTCTGAGCACACTCACCACGCACCGCCTGCAAAGATGCTCTGCTACATATACGCATGCGTCGCGAAGCCTTCTGATTTATAGAGGGTGGCGAGATCATTGATATACCTCGCACTCTTCGCTGCCCGTGCTGCAGTCCCTCTAGTCCGTCTGCGTATACGGTGCGTTTTCTCCCTCCCAGACGGTGCTGATGTCCCGTGAACTAGGAACGCACCTTCCGGAGGAGCTCGTGAATGCCATCGTCGTACGTCTTGACGATGGCGATTTTCCGTGGGCAAAACCCCTCAAGTGCGGCCTCGCCTCTTGCAGCCTGACCTGCCGCCACTGGGCGAAGGTCATCAGGCCCATACTCTTCAGACATCTCACTCTGAGAAGCGCAGAGGATGTATCCCAGCTGCTCGCATTCCTCAGAGCTCCCGATGTCCTTGGTTGTTCCCCAGGCTCGGAAAGATTACCAACTTGGTGGATCTCTGTCGCCTTGACATCCCGAGCCACCCCCTCACACGCTACATCCGCACTCTGCATCTTGTCGAAGATCACGGACCCGCTACTATTTCATGGGGTCATCAGCTGTTTCTAAGGTTATATCGACAACTCGCTCCCGAGATGAGCATTTGGACCATCAAGAGTCAGATCTGTTCTGACGGGAGGACTTTGCCGTATCCATTTGCTCTACTCCCGAGAGCGGTACCTGCAGCGACAATGATGATGATACACTACGTCGTTCTATCCGATTTCCAAGCTCTATCCATTCAGAGCCTAGTCAGCTTCGTTAAGTGCGTACAGGTCTATGAGCTCAAACTGGAAAACGTCACATTCCTGGACGAAAACATTGGACATGCCATGCACCCACGACGCGTTTCGCGGTCGAA